GATATCTTTAGTAGTATAAATACACGCTCTAGGCTTGTCGTGCTCAGAGTTGTAGAATAACTCACCTCTTAGGTTGTTTAGGCCTTTAATTTTACCGGCCCCAACCCATGGCTCTTGGATTAGGGCTATGGCCGTCCTTTGTGCCTCCAACCACTTGCGTAATTGAGCCGAAGCTGTCTCACTTTGGTGGAGGTTGGCCTGCACTAGGCTAGTTTTGGACGAAGGGCACGCCATCATCGATCGCGTCATCCCCGTCCCCGCCTATAAAATAAGCTTGCCAGCAGATCTCGGGTTTCATCGTCAGCCACTGAGTCGGAATTGGACGGCAAGATGCAGTCCTCTTCGTTGCTCAGTGAGCTGCCGTTGAGCCCAGTTTCCACTGGGGGCCGAAGCCCCTGCACAACCGAGCTTCGGCTCGGTTGTGCAGGGGCAGTTTTTTCACTGGACTTGACATCCAGTGATTTCGATGTTCCGGCAACCATGGCCACGGTATCCATGACTTCCGGGTTCTTTTCTGCCTCTTTGCTAGGTGGGGAATCAACGAATTTTCCTCCACGACCCTTTTTTTTTTTTTTTTTTTTTTTTTTTTTTGCATGGGGAAATGCCTCGCATACCCGCCTCGCGGGGGCAAGGACGGGTTATGTCGGACTCGCACCGACTAAAACCCCATGGTGTTCCATCTTTGTCGCATATTGGCAGGGCTACGGGAACGCTTTCGCACACATCCGCGGCCCTACTAGCGCCTGCCGCCCCATGGCAGCACCTCCTCGGGAGAGGAAAATTCCTCCCCGTTCTCCTTCCCAGGTAAGGCGCACCAGAACACATGGCGCGCCTTCCTCCACGGCCTCCAATTACGTCTGTGCAACAGACGCCCCCGCGTCCGATGCACAAAGGCCATGGGGCCAGGAAAAACGAGCACTTAGAAGTACTAGCCTTCCCGACCCCAGCGGCGGATCTGGTCTATGGCTCCGCCGCCAACCAAGATTCGGCTGCGGAGGGCAGGGATAGCGGCGCCTCGCAATACCGACAATCCTCTCCCCCCGCAGCCCCACCACCACCGCATCAACGGTGCGGCCCCGTTTGAGTCGCGAAGGATAGGGGCGAGTGGCGCATCGCCATACCAACACTCCTCTTCCTCCGCGACTCCACCTCGGCTGCAGCGGTAGAGGGTGCGCGAGTCCCCACTCGCTGCAGTCCACCAGCACACATCCGAAGTGGGCTCCCCAAGCCCACTCGGAGTGGCCACCTCAGGCCGGCCCTTCACCTCGGGCCAGCCACGTGGGTTCCTCTTTGTTCACCGTGGGAGACCAAGCCACGGCTACTAAGCCCCCCGCCACGACAAGGCGGGAACCCGTTCGGGGGGGTCCTCCACGACCCTGGAATTTAACGTATACCGCCCCACATACATATGCCAGACGGCGCCCGGCTTTCATCAGGGTCGGGATATGATCCTCCGGCACCGAAACAACGAGGAACCACCCGTCCGTCTGTTTGTCCGCTTTGAGTAGAAGCAAGTCCTTGATATTTACCCAGCGGTTCTGGTACGCAAGCACACGGCCAATGTCGCGTGAGTCCTTCCAGGCACCTTGGGCATCAGGGATAAGGATACCACATTTGATTCTTTGTGGTATCTCTGACTGTTTCTTAATAGTCAACGAGGTGTTGGATTTGAGGTCGAGGGTATTGATATTCCCCTTCAACCAGTCCAGAGCCTTCTGGTAATCGCACCACAGCTTTAGGACACCCTCCTTGTAAACGGGGTTGCCTCTAAAAACCGGGCCCGACGCATCAGGGTCCTGGTTACTCCAGGCCTCGCTGATTATCTTCCTCTGTATGGCCACGAGGATGTCATCAGCTATCTCCTTTGTTATGTACCCTGAACGCGCACACGTTAAGGCCACACCCAAATCTGCTTTAGCAGCAGAAGCGTAGCTTGTTCTTGCAGCCTTTGTTTGCTGTTCAAGTCGCACTTTTTTGTGCTCTCCTCTCGGCGAGGTGGACTTTTCCAGCAATCTTTTGGCTGCTCTTTCCTTCTTTCCAGGACGCTTGGCTGCTCTCTGGTTCCTGGCGGATTTCTTAGAGCTGGTTCCGGCGGCCGTGCCTACTGCTCGGGCTAGATTTTCATCCTGCCCAGTTTCAGCACGACTACTGGTTCCAGCCCCAAGCACCGCAGTAGCAGTAGCTTGCCCAGCTTCCTGAGTCTTGTTCTTGGAAGCAGCGAGCGCGGCTCTTTCTCTGCGGCCTTTTTCTCGCTGCGTCTCGCAGCGAATTCTTCTTTTTGACCTTTGCGCTACTGCCTGCTGGGGTAGACCCACCTGATGGTGCGTTGGGTCGGCAAGTCACCATTTTGGGTGCCTTGCGCTTCCCCTTACGGCTTACCACTTGCCAGGCAGCGGAGAAAAGGTCTTCGGTCCTTTGGGGCTCCGCAGGAGTTTTGCTACTCGCTGCCCGTTGCTCATTTTTCTCGTCCAGCTCCTTGGATTTTGGAACTGGATTTAGAGACATCCAGCGCGGAAATTGCCCCCTTGATGGGGCCACCTACGCTGGGTGGTACAGTCAGTGGAACGGCCGGTTTAACGGCGGTTCCTTCTGGTTTATCAGTGTCTAAGGTAAACACCTCTGACACTTCTCCTTCTCTACTAATGGGCCTTGTGTTGTCCATAGTTTTGACATGTGTAATAATTCGTCCCTCCGGCTTCCTACCCTCCATGGAGCCTGCACCTTTGGGAACGCCCTACTTTATTCAAAGAATTTCAGGCGTTAGGATTACCGGGGGAATATAGGGACGCAGAGTTGGCTAACAGCGCGACATCGGGAGCTCGATCCAGCTGGCAGATAGGGCTGACAAAGGCCCATCCCCACTGCCCGAGTGGACTTTCACTTGCCCCGTCAGCATGGTCTTTACCACCACCTAGCCCTTTTCAGGGAGACTAGGCAGCCCCCACATCCCTCGCCTGCGACCCTCTAACGGGACGCTTGGCCATTTCCTTATCTGTGGCTAGCAGATAAGGCCACCGTTTAGCTTGAAATTCGGACCAAAGAGGGCGTGTTGCCTCTCGACACTATACTATATACCCCAGTGACGATCGGCTCAACCCTCCAGGACTACTTCATCCTCGCATACGGCGCTCAACTGCGCAGGTCCTAGCGCAGGTGGGTGTGTTAGTCCACCGGATACACCCACTCTCTCCGGCGGAACCGTTCCCTCCTCTTTTCCGGGCTTGGGACCGGCAGCAACAAAAAGCATTGACAAAGTTAGTTGCCCGTGCTTCCTGTTGCAGGCAGAGTTGCAATTTTGGTAATTCAATCGGCAGTTTTTATTGTAACGAACCCTAATCTCGTAACATTATTAAATTTTATATTTTACATTGTTAAAAGTACAGTGAAACTCATCGCGCTACTTTCCGATATCTGCTGAGGCAGCTAGTACTGTTCTAGAAATTAATATTCATAAATATTTAGCATAAATAAGTAGTTAGTTTAAAATAAATTTTTCAATATTTATTTCAATAAGAAATGTTTTTGTATTTTCAGATTCATGCCCATCCTTGCTCGACTTTTTATCCAGTGCTATTTCAAATGAGAAGAAAATAAAACTGCTATCAGTTATGCAGGTAAACCTTTATTGTATATATCCTAGACGCCTGATGACCTATGGCGCCAACTCCTGAATAGACCATTATTCGGCTTAACCAAATAATGATCCGTTCCTACGTTAGCCTTACATTTCATTAACACTTTCCTTACCATTTCCCAAAACTGCTTTCTGATATAAGTGGGCTTAGACATGTCTGGGGCGTAGACACCTAGCACAAACAACTTCTTTAAGCCCACTTTCATTGTATCCATAGCAGTCTTGGGCTTACACATTCATACTTTTTCACACATTAGCCCATTTTATCTGAAAGGATGATACCTACTCCCTGGCATCCACTCGATCTCGACTACACCAGACTTTCCCTTCCGTTTCGTCTCATTTACACATAACACATCTATTCCTCTATCATACATCATATCGCATACTTCATCCATTTTATCATTCATTGCTCCACATACATTCAACGTAGCCAGACGGGCCTCTGCAATCCACTTTTCGGCCCTCCGGGAGACAGAACGTGACGGGTGGTGAACCTCGTCGCCGGTTTTCCTCCCGGAGATTCTTCGCACCCCTGCCCCAGGGGCCTAGGATTAAGTGGTCAAAGCCTACGGACGCATGCCACTTGTCCCCCTGTAATGGAATTATTTAAATTTAAATTAAAAAGCGTTTTTTATTAATTTCAGGATATTTCTTATGGCATCAAGATCGGTTGGCAAGAATCTTATCTATCTGAACTCATGAAGCAGCTCACGGATTGGATAGTACAGCCTATGTCAGAGCCACAATACCGCACTATTGGGCATAAATCTTTAACTGTCCTTGTCAATTTATGCTATGGAAATCTTCCAGCTATTTATGCACTTATGAGGACTGTAGATACAAAAGAATTTGTTGTCCATCTAATAAATTTGAAGGTAAACAAAATAATTTTCAACACTAAACTTTATATTATTGTTTTTAATCTTGGGGAAAAAATCATTACAGAAACAGGTAATATATGTGAGTAAGGCAAGCCTTACAACTTAGAATATAAATCGAAATTATCAATAGATAGATAGCTCTATCATTACACTAATGAATCTCAGCCAATGTTTGCAAGATTAACTATAAAGTTATGATATTAATAAAATAAAATATGTTTTGTTTGTGTATTAATGGTATACCCATTACTTTGAACAGTATTTGAAGAAGCTTTATCTTTATGGCAAAATTCGTTCTTAAGAATATCAATGTGGCAACGCTGTCATCGCGCCACAAGCAAAACTGCACCGTAAACTAAATCGTGCTATCCAAGTTCCAAAGTACTTCCGTATATATAGAATAGCTCTGTAGTACCACATGGAGCGTTGGCCACTCCCTGGGCTGATCTGATGAGTTCTGGCACTTGCTCCATCTCGTATTTTTCACCACCATCATTTCTGTAAATCGTCATGTAGGTATTACAGAATATATCATATACATATACACACACACATATACAATATATATCACAATATTGATTCTACGTCCTTTCATTTCGCATTATTGTAGCGTCCTCCACTTGTAGGCATTTTTTATAGATTATGACAGCGTATATTGGTCTATTAAACAATTTCAAAGATAGTGTTTAACTCATTTCTTTGAAAATTTACCAAATGTCGATATACAAATATTCGTATATTGCCAGACGGAGGGAAACCAATCAGGACTCCCTTCCATATTACAAATTATCCAGAATCCCCGTAATATACATAGTTTTTAATTCGTTCTCCTGCTTAACGCAATTCCTTTGTATGGTGCGACGTTGCCACTCTTATTAGTTATTCCGCTTTGTAATATTTTATTTATAGGTGATATTTTGTTTATGTAGGTATTCGATAGATTCTGATTGTCTGTTTTTTTCGCAGGAGACAAAAATAACAGATCGTTATTAGATTCGTTTAGCACGAATAATACAGCTTTTATGATTCTAGTTCTGATTAGATTTAATTTTAGTCACTTAAGTTTCGTATATTGTTCAAAATAATGAAATAAATCCACAGAATGTACAGTTACGAAAAATACGTAATATCATTTTTGTTTCCGGCGAAAAAAACAGATAGATATCATGATTAATTTACCAACTAGTTATTCGTTTACTAAATACGAAAAAATACCTAGGATGGCCCAGCCGTGCTACATTATAGATTGACTATATTATTATTTATTTTTCTATTTTAAATAATTATATACTATTAAAAGAGCAATTCTTGTATATATATATATATATATATATATATACAATCGGGATCTCGGAAACGGCTCCAACGATTTTCATAAAATTTAGTGTCCAGGGAGTTGATGAAAAACTGCTACAATATCGTTAGAATAAGAAGGTAAATTTTGACGGATTGTTAGTGATTATAAATAGCTTAATTGGTATAATGGTCGGTCACAGAATCTTAAAACCCCGGTTCGAGCCCAGACCGACCGACCGCGACTTCTTTTAATTTTTTTTTTCATGTTCCTTTCTTTTTTGAGAAAATCTATTTTTTCGAGCTCTTTTTTTTAGTATTTTTTAAAAACACGAAAATTTAAATTAAAATAATTGCACTCATGATTTTTTATTCAAATAACCAGTTCCGTTTTTTCTGTTATGTCGCTAAGATCAAAAATATTATTTATATTTCATCAGTATGTAATTTGTAACTAAATATAATTCCAAAAACACACGAATTAAAAAAAAATCGAGCGAAAAATACCGAGCAAAGCTCGGTCAACCAGGTACTAAGTACTAATTGTAGAAATTGACAGGTTTAATAGAAGTTTATTTTCTTATATTGTGACTAATAACCTAATATGACATTGGGAAGAAACTCATTTTAATATAAGGTTTTACTGCATTAACTGCCAATGGGTTCATAATTTCTACAATAGACCGTGGCGTATTGTTCCTGACATGAATAACTCCGAAAATATAATTTATTTACTTAATTGTATTGAGTTTTGGTGCTCTCACTGCGAGTTTACTTCTTATGATCACATATACGGACGTAAGAATATCCTAAAATATTCACACTAAGTTTTATTTGACGGCCACTTCTTCGATATCCGATGTCCAAAGTTTTTGTTGATTATTGCATTTTACTATTTATTTATGTTGATTATTTATTTAGTGCTCAAGGCATATTTTGGTATTTTTTGTCGGTTTATACTGTACTCGGTGCTAGTAGATAATTTTACTTTCCAATTTGTTTTCGTGTCCTTAGATTTAGCTACATATAATATGGACGTCCGAATATCCTAAAACATTCATACTGAATGCTATTTGACGTCCATATTTCTGAATTTTGTTATATTTCTATATGTGGACGTCAGATTATCGGTAAAGTTTAATACCGCACGATATTTGACGTCAATATAACTATGAATATATTTATATTTTAATTCCTTGTGTATTAAATACACATTAATGATCATTGCTTTAATGACATTTTTCGCTATTGTTTTATTCGTATTTTAGTGTAGGGAGGTCATGCTGTGTAAAATAGTCACTTTGGTGTTTTATAAAATGTTTCATTCTAGAAATGATAAAACGCTTAGAAGCTTAGAAAACGTGTGTGAAAAATTAAATTGTATTTCCACTAACTGCAAAACCAAACATAATATCATAATTTAACAAAAATAGCCTTTCACAAAAATTAATCTAGTTAAGTAGAGAGTAATTTCGTACAGATTAGGTACAATAGTCGCATTCATCCTTAAGATGCAGTGAGAGCACCAAAACTCAACACGATCAAGTTAATAAATTAATTTTTCGGAGTTATTAATGTCAGCAACAGTATGCCAAGGTCTATTGTAGAAATTAACAACCTATTGGCAGTTAATGCAGTAAAACCTTATATTAAAATGAGTTTCTTCGCCAGACCAGATTAGGTTATTAGTCAGAGATTATTAGTCACAATATAATAAAACAAACTTCTATGAAACCTGTCAATATCTACAATTGAGTCCATCTTCCTGTACTTAATCAGAAGGTAACTTATACTCAAACAGAATTATAGGTTGTTTACAAAGTACCAAATGTAAAATGTTAAAATATAGTGCAGCATGAAATAAACCGATATGCCGATGTCCGCATCTACATTTACAAAAATATAACTAAATTCAAAAATACGGGTGTCAAATATCATTCAGTATGAAAGTTTTAGGATATTCCATATTATGTGTAGGTAAATGTAAGGTTAAGAAAACAAGTTTAAAAGTAAAATTACTAATACCAAGCGCAGTATAAACCATATTACATTTATTCCCTCACTCTCATAATCCGATGGGACGGTAAACCGACACGACCGGAGAGAGATCAGGCGCAGGACCAACGGCTTTACGTGCTTTCCGAGGGAAGGGGTGATATACCGCCAACTTCCTGACTCCGGCCAGCTATTGAGAATTTCTTGACAGAAAAACTTAATAATTGATTTTTTGGCCCGACCCGGGATTCGAAACCAGGTCCTCACGAACTCACGATCAGCAGTCGCACTACTACAACCGCTAGACCAACGAGGCAGTCATAACCATATATCACCAAATACAAGTAACACGTTGGCAACGGTGACGGAACGGCAACGTCGCATTTCCTAATTTTGTGCGGAAGTCAAATACGGCCATAAATGAAAGTATTCAAAAATCGACAGCAACGCTATTATTTTTGCAACGAAAATTAGCGGAAATACGTAAATATACATTACAACAAGATTGGAATAAAAATGACGTCTAATTTTTTTTTAGATTTTGACATTTCTGGGATCAGCATGACAATTTGCGAACATTGCGCTAAGTCTCCTATTTGACGTCCGTATATTGGACGTCGTAAACAGGTTGACGCCACATTATATGCAAAATTGGCCATAGTGGACGTACAATAAGTTACGGGATGTATATATAATATATATAAAAACATCGGCATATCACTTGCATTCCTCAAATGTATTAAGCATGCACCGGCAACCAGACTATACTATCCACCTCCGGTCTGAGCAGAGAGGTAATGTGACGGCGCTATAAAAAAGCTCCAATACCTAATAAATTACGCTATCGAAGTTCTTTTTTTTTTTTTGCGCCCGAAGCAAATATGGGCAACCCTCCGGAAAGCGGGGGAGGGAGGTTGGGAATGCTCATAGCATACCACGCAGCCGGCTGCGTGGTTATGTGGTGACTTTTTACCCACTAAATCCAACCTTTTAGGAACTGGCTTAACGATCTAACTAGAGATCTCTAAGCCGTATACGAACGCGACCCTCCTTGGCAGAAAGGAGGGCGCAAGCGGCGAAAAGCCGCTTAGAAGAGTGCCTAACTAAGGCAGATTAAGGGATGTGTTATGTAGGCTCGGCCTGAGCCGCCAGGGAGGCAGTTCAGGTCAGCCGAAAGCTTGTTGGGGGGGGGGGTCCGAGAGAGAGTTTCTCGGTCTGCGCACACTATAGCGAGTGTGGATAGGGGCTGCATAGGCAGCTGTCTCACGGATGAGATGGTTTGGGTGGGACTCTGAGGCTTTAAAAAAATCTCTCAGAGAGTGATTTAAGGAACTGCTGTATTGTTGGGAGCTCTAAGTCTTGATGTAGGTCGGCGTTACGGACATAATAGGGCGAGTTAGTGGCCCTACGACAGAATAGATTTTGGACTATTTGAAGTTCATTTATAGCTTTGGGCTTAGCATGTGGGGAAATGGGATCCGCGTAGGTCATGACAGGTCGTATGCAGACCTTATATAGGGTTCGCTTGTTGCGGAGGGACATTTTACTGTGTCTGCCCAACATGCTGTTGAGCCTACCCATGTAAAATCGTGCGGTGCGAGTAACCTTCTTGATGTGGGGCTCGAAAGTGAGCCTTGCATCAAGGGTGACGCCTAAGTATTTGGCTTTAGTTTGCCATGGGACAGGGGTTCCTAACATCCTGATTG